AATTGTAGGTGCAGCGAAGGTGAGAAGAAACTGGGGGAGAAACATACCTGCGGCGGTGAGTGGCAGCGAAGGTGAGTGGCGGCGAAGAAGAAACGGGGGAGTGGCGGCGATTGGGGAAGAAGAAATGGAGAGCGAAGAAGAAGCTGGGGTGGGGGAATCGAAGGAATGAGTAAGAAACCCGGGTATAAGTCGGGGAATGGGAAAAGCGTGAAACGGGTAATCAAAAACTTAAAAATAGGGTAAGGGAATGAATTTTTTTTTAAAACAAACTACAACAAAGGGAATGAGGGAATCCCATTCCGTTTCCCCATTCCCTTACCCCGAACCAAACGCCCCCTAAGTATATACTAATACACGGTTATTACAAATGACAATACAAAAAAAAATTAGTGGATACACATTAGGATACTATGACTAAAGCTTTTTACTAAAAATAGCACTAAAAAAGAGAAGATTTATCGATTTTTAATTCTTTTTTTCTTCATAAAAAAACAACACTAATCTTTTTTCTATTTAGGACATAATCTCATGTTCAGTAAACAAATTTAGAATACTTCAAGGTTGATCGAGTAATGAATGTTGAAAATTTATTTTGAATTGAAATTAGAAAATTTGAAATGAATGTGATAAACACAATTTTTATCAGAGACATTCATTCTAAAACAACATGTTCTTTTGTAAGAGTATATGTGTTCATTTATTTGGAATTTTTAGGAAAATGTGTTGTATGATTACCAACGTTGATTGACTTGACTTATTTGATTGCCACAATAAATATTGCACCCTTTCCCGGAGGCATGGAGGCAAGCCTTCCGCAAGAACTCCGACCGCACGGTCCCGCAATATTGGATTCCCTTCGAGGCACACCGGTACCAACACGCGCTCGCGTCGTACCCGGTGTTTGGGAAGTCGCCGTTCCCCGCACCGCCTCCCGTGTAAAAGGCATTGTTAAACACGCCTTCGAACGCCCCTTTCCCTTTGGCAGCGTCTGCGGCATTACCCCCGGCCCCACCACTGGCGCCTGGGTCTCCGGCTAACATTTCTTGTGCAAACGCCTTCATCTGAGCGTCATCTTTCTTTGCCGCGTCATTGGCAGAAGCCCCGTCCGGAGACTCGTTGTGGTTTTCTAATGAATGCGCGTTGGCTTCTCCGGACATAAGCTCTTGCGCAAACGCCTTCAGCTGATAATCATCCATTTTCGTTACATCCTCGGGCTTAAGTGTCTCAGGAGATTCGGCAGCTTGTTCCGAAGACGCTTCAGCATATTCGGAAGAAGCCACAACACATGCCAATATTGTTGCCACCATACCTATTAATGGCAACAATTTTGCTCTCAAAATATTGTTCATGTTGTTATTAACAATATTCTTAGCCATTATATTATATTTTGTATATTTTGACTAATAGCATTTTTTGAGGAAAAAAATAGAGTGAAAAGATATATATGTAATAGTACCTCAATACATTATCCATTCCCACACATTTTCAACATGATTTTAGGGCAGGGATATGGTGGAGAAATGAAGAGGTTAAGTTTGGGTGGATGGATAACATTTTTCTTTATTGTAAGATATTAGTAGTGTTCTATTCTTTGTCTTATAAAAAAGATTCTTTAATAAAATTGATTCAATTATTTAAAATGTAGAGTAAGATGTAGTGCAAATGATAAACAAAAAAAGGAATGTGAAAACTTTTTATGAAACATTGTTTCAAATTAGTTTTGGTATTTTAAATAAAATTTTAATAAAATAAGTTAGTTTTTAAAACATTAAAGTTAAACATTGTCCTTCGATGTTCTTTTGGAAATTTCACCTCTTACGCCATTTCCAAATGGAACATCCATATATTAACATGAGGACGGTTCCCATGACATTGTCCTGCAATATCATGGGATGACCCGAGGGTGCTCCGGTGTCTCGTTCGTAAAATTGACGATTTCTACCTCACCTAGCCCCACGGGTAAACCCTCCCACCCCGCCCCGTATTAACACATGGAAATGTATAATACGAATAGAGTTTCACCAAGGTGCAAAGTCAAAATCAACTTGTGGGGTGCAATTGACGGGGGTAGGGGGGCGTGTTCGGGTCGGGGCCGGGGTGGGGGGTTTACCGGGGGGGTTAGGGGGGTAGGAACCGTCAATTTTACGAACGGGGCACCGGAGCACCCCCGGGTCATCCCATGACATTGAAACCCAATGTCATGGGAACCCCACCCATAGAGTTTTGCTAGGGATCCTACTTTTTTTGACGTGATGTAAAGACATACACAGACAACAACAATAATAAATTTAACAAAAATGCCACTGCTTTCTCTTTTAACAAAAATAAATTTAAAAATGTCACTGAACTCTTTTTTGTCGAAAGTACTACTTTTTTATTTTTAAATGTCATAGAAGTTTTTATTAATATTTAAAATACTACTCTTATGTCTTCAACCAATTAGTTAAAAATTTCCCTTTTTATTTTATTATGTCTCAAGTTGTTTTTTTTTTCTTTTTTCTAAATGAGATTTCTTTATCTTTCCCAACAATGTCTTTTTCCAATTCTTTCAACTGAGTAAGAATGTTTTTACTAACATGAGACGAAACAAAATTTCTTTAAATTGTATCTGTATAACTAATGATAAAATTAAATTGGTTATACTAAAAAATCAAACAAGAAAAGTATTTGTGGAAAGTGAGAATATTATTTATCCAGTTTTGATATGTAATAAAAAGTTTAGTGGCAGAATAGAAACAAAATGAAACACAATGACATTTTTTATATAAAATATAATAAAGAGTAGTTCAGTGGCATTTTCTAATTGTATTCTACGCTAATGAAATATCTTTTTTATTGTTTCATGAGACATAAAAAATCGAATTCAACATCTCTAAATATCACAAATCTTCTTAATGGAGAGTCTTGATATCTCTCATGTTTGAGAGATATCATGGTGTGAATTTGACACCCACCTCAACAATCAACCCCACCAGCAACCACTCACATTACCAGCAACCCCGTTAATAACTATTTAATTCATGATTTTTAATTTATTTAAACAACTTTGTTTCAGATCTCGAGACCCATATTATTTTTTCCATATTTCAAAATTCATATCATATTATTTTTCTAAAAATGACCAAATAGGCCTTAAGATCGTTTTGTTGGGGGTGGACATTATCAACCTCATAATATTCATTTTTCAAATCTTTTTAAATGCCATAAACTCAAATTGTAAAATTTCCATATGTCATAAAGCCCAATCATAATGGGCTAAAGCCTACTAATTAAGCTGCTAGACAAAGCCCACCTCAGAATGGGCGCATCGGTTGTGACCTATAAAAATCCATTTCGCGAACCTAGGGTTTACAGCCATTAGAGAGATAGGGTTTGCAGCTTGTGAGGAAAAGCTTCCCAGTCGCGACAATGGCCGTCGGGTACAGCGATTCAGTTTATTCTACACTTAGATTAGATTACATATGCGTGTTTCTGTATATTTTCTGTATCATGCTGATCTAAGGATTGGTTTGTTTTGCAGAAAGAACAAGCGGATTTCCAAGGGGAAGAAGGGAGGGAAGAAGAAAGTGTAAGTATTTCGATTTGATTCAGGGATCTGGATTTGTTTTGCATTTTGACATGGAATTGAAAGATAAATCAAGCTTCTTTTGTACTAGTGTTGTCATTATAATTATCTGGATTTGTTTGCAGTGCCGATCCGTTTTCCAAGAAGGACTGGTATGATATCAAGGCTCCCGCAGTTTTCAAAATCAGAAATGTGGGGAAAACACTTGTTACCCGAACTCAAGGAACCAAGGTGAGTTTTGAATTGACTAATTTTTTAGCAGCATGTTTTTGTTTTAACCCTTCACTGGATTTTTAATTACTTTTTTATTTGTTTTGAGTGGTTTCAATTTCTAATCAGCATTTACTCTTATGCTAAATCCCATGTTTCAAGGTGTTAAGCAATTTGTTTGTATTCCTTTCTTGACAACACATTAACTGAGTATCACAATCATATGTGATAGTTTTTCAGAGTATAATGTGGTATATGTTTATTGACTATGCATTATGAATGGGTTAAACTCTAGTCCCTGTTCCGCAATTTTGTATTTGAAGTCACTATTAAGTTCTTAACATTAAGAGATGGATTTAAAGTTATGTATTTGTGCGTAACTTGATGTTTTATTTTTGACATTCAATCAAATCAGATTGCTTCTGAAGGGCTCAAACACCGTGTCTTTGAGGTTTCTATGGCTGATCTCCAAGATGATGACGAGAGGACCTATAGAAAGATCCGTCTCAGAGCAGAGGATGTTCAAGGAAAATCTGTCCTTACCAACTTCTGGGTATGTGTCTTAAGTGGCATTACACCTTGATTTCCTAGACTATATCTAATCTAATGTATTGATTATTGACATTTCATAAATGGACAGGGGATGGATTTCACTACAGATAAGCTGAGGTCACTGGTGAAGAAATGGCAGTCCCTAATCGAGGCACATGTTGATGTCAAGACAACAGATAATTATACCTTAAGAATGTTCTGCATTGGATTCACTAAGAAGCGAAGTAACCAACAAAAGAGAACATGCTATGCACAATCCAGCCAGATTCGTCGGGTATTCTTTTATAGTATCATACTATTTTTTTTATTTTTATCTGCTTTTATATCATATCCATAACCAGTTAAGCTTTGCTAGTCTGTGTTATACTTTATATTTTTTGTTTATTTTTAATTTTCCCTCCTATTTGGTTCTTTCTTTTGTGAGGATTTTTTTCAAGATATATTACTTGTTTGCACATTTGCAAGCTTGATGAATGTTTCTGAATGTTCCTAAATTATATTAGTTAGTTTATATATATACAACAGCATTATCCTTCTGTCTCAAACTCTCCTGCCATTCCGGGATAAGGAGGTCGGATGTATGTAGCTGGACCCCTATGTTCAAAACATTGAGTGAATGTTTCCCGATGGCCCATGATGACCTTCAAAAGTTGCGAGGAATAACTACTACCTCACTATCAAGATTGTTTAACATTTTGGGGGAAATTATGTCAACTTTTTTTCAATTCTTTTGTGTGTGTTTGAGAATGAAAATGTAATGCCTTTGAATGCTTTTCTACCAAACAAACCTTAGTATGATGAAGATAATAAGGTGTGCATAGGTCTGCTCAATGAAATGCATTTGAAATGTGGAACTAATATCGTCTGATACCTTGGAAAGTTGTATTAATGGCTTTCAGAAATTCTTGTTAATGCACGCTGTGCCTTGATCTGCTTTTCTCATGTATCTGTCTATACACCATGTAATACTAAGCTGTATCTTTGCACTATTGCACAGATCCGCCGCAAGATGATAGAGATCATGGCCAACAGTGCGCAGGGTACTGATCTGAAGGGTCTGGTAGAGAAGTTCCTTCCCGAAACGATTGGTAACGAGATTGAGAAGGCCACTACACACATCTACCCTCTCCAGAATGTTTTTATCCGCAAGGTCAAAATCCTAAAGGCTCCTAAGTTTGACCTCAGCAGGCTGATGGAGGTCAGTATTTTTTCCAACCCTACTTTCATTAAATTATATGGACTGAATGTGCCTTGAAACTTCTGTCTTAGGTTCCACACTGCCTCATAAAATACTGCATAAGATGTTTAAAGGATACTTTCAAGTTTCAATACAAATTCATCAACAAAAATGACAACAATATATCTAATATTGTTACTGTTTTCCTCCATTGTGATTTTGCCTCTGCAAGTGAACCCTTAAAATTGTGGATGCAGGCTCATGGAGGTCATGAAGATGTCGGCATGAAGATTGACCGGCCTGCAGAGGATACCGTGGCGGAGGCTGTCGAACCTGTTGGAGCTTAATTTTTTTATGCTTTCTTTGTTAATTTCCCTCTTTGACCTTCCTTCGATGGGAAACTGTACCTTAGTTTGTTTGGGTTTTATGGGGAATTTTGTGATAGACTGCTAAGGAGACCCTTTTTTCTTTCTTTATATGTCTGTTCTCTGTTGGGTTATTCTAAACACTTCCATCTTTCAAATTTTGACCTCTGCGTTAAAATACTCTCCACTCTTCCAAATTAGGAGTTGCTGGTGTGTTCCAAAATATGTTTGGTTAATTTTATTTCACATATTTAAGGTTTATTCTCCAAAAAAAAAATTTATAGATGTCTTAAAACAAGAATAACTTATTTTACTACCTCGGTCGCACGTCTAGTATGTTTCAACTCTCAAGCAAAAAATATTTTCTCACAAAATGGTAATGAATTTTAGTGTCAAAATTATTGCAATATTTTTTATCTTTTTGAAAACTATTAAAATTATACTCCGTAATGTATTGTATTGGTATGTAACACTCCCTTCGTCTTATTTTAAATTGTCTGTTTGCCTTTTTTCTCCGTCCCAAAATAAGTTGCTTGTTAGTTGTTTTCGTAAACTTTTAAAAATAAAATACCTAAACTACTCCTAAAAAATAAGTCACATTTCTTCACCTAATTTTCTCATTCATCATCACCCTTCTTAAAAAGTAATGTCTATTTCGGAAAATCAGCTCTATTTTTTATTTTCCTTAAATATGCCCAAAAGTCAAAATAGACGATTTAAATTGGGACGGAAGGAGTACAAATTAAGGGTAATTGATAATTAAAATTTGTCTGATTTGAGTCAAATTGGAGGAATACATTAAGACTGAGGGAGTATAGTTGATCATCTAAAAATCATCTCAAATTGAAAATTTTCAATATATATTTTATTACTCTTTTTGTTCTAAGTTAGAATTTTTCCATTTTCTTTTTTGTGTAGTTTAAAAAAAATAAAAATTGTTTTGTGGAAATTTATGGGAGGCGTGAGAATTATTTTGGCCACTTAATTTTATAAAAAAAGGATGAGTCCCATCCTGGAGCATCTTCTTAGATTCGCCCGAACGGTCACTGAAAGGATGAAAATTAGATTTTATGGTGTGTTTGGTTGGGAGAAAAATATTTCAAGAAAATTTTGATTTTATTTTCCTGTGTTTGGTGAAATTAGTTATAAAAAATATTTTTCAGGAAAAATATTTTTCTTCAATGGGAGGAAAAAAAATTTATGTTAAAAATCAAAGGAAAAATTTCGAGGTTTGAAATAACTGGAGTACTTAGAAAAATTTTTAAATGAGTTTTAAAATTTAAAATACCTGTGTTGTAGGGAAAATATTTCAAACTTCTTCAAGCCGGCTCAGGTATTTCAAACTTTTTAAAAATTTAAATTAGCTTTAAATTTTAAATTCATAAAAATGGAAGTGTTTTGGGAAAAAACGAAAAAATTGAAAGAGATATTGTTTTGAAAATAGATGGAGTAATAAAAGAAATGATTTTTTGAGAAAATAGTTTTTCTTCCTACCAAACAACAGTAAAATATGATTGAAAAATTATTTTTTTCTTGAAAATCATTTTGCTTTGGAAAATATTCTTTAAGAAAATTATTTTATCCCTAACCAAACACATCCTTAAGCTCTAGGTATAGCATAGTTGCCCACATTGTAGTTGCTATGAACCGAACTGTTAGAAATAGAGGTAGTTTTGTATGGAGGAACAACGCTGCGAAACAGCATTACTTGGTTTATTGTAACGTAAAATGACTTGATAGACTAAACGAATCGCATGAAATCACGCTTTCAAATTAAAGTTATTTCGGCGTATACCAAAATACTTCAATCGGATAAGACGTTAGTATATAGAACGAGTATAGACTTCACTCTCTTATTAAACATACCATGCAAGCCCTTAATATAAGCATTGGACGATCGGACGTGACCATTGGCCGATGGACGCAACCCGTAGGGAAAATCTTATCTTCTGGGTAGTTTTCCAATTTGAACTATTTGAATAAGTGACAACTTATTTGAATAGTTGGGGTTTTCCAAAAAACCTGCAGGCATGTGCTGACCTATTCGAATAAATGAGCATTTATTCGAACAGTTGGGGTTCTCCAAAATTAGGCATGTGCTGAACTATTAGAATAAATGTGCATTTATTCGTATAGTTCACTCTTTTAAGCCTTATTTGAGAAACATTTTTCACATGATTGAAAATTACATATTTTAGATTCCGATTACGAAAATCTTCGGATTTTCATAAAGCGATAATGTCCAAAATAAAAAATTGCTAGGGGCTCTTTCCCTTAAACCCCCGCCAGTGGCTGCCGCCCCTTGGGCCCCACTACCGGGACTCCCCCGGATCTCCGACGTGGAATTTCTAATATCGTTGAACGAGCGTGCACTGTGTACTTTCTAACTCGTTTACAACGTCTATTGAAATTTCTCTTCGATCTTAAATTAATCTAATTACACAAAATAACCGATCACACTAAAATCACCAATACGAACTCGGGTCCTTTGACATTCCCTGCCTTTGTTAACTACGTACCCACCAGCGGCCTGTTAATTTAGAAACTCAGTATATCAGAGATATATTCACTCATGCTGGTTTCATTCACTAAACATGCCATAAAGAACTTCAAAAATTTGAAACATGTTTGTTACTCTTTGATGTCATACACATCTGGTTCACAGTTTGATGGGCTTGGACATAACACACATGGGCCAATGGACTATGGTTCGTGGCCTGTGGAGTAAACTTCTAAGTAAAAATAAAAAGTTATGAAACAGTGAAACACCCCCAAAGTGTTTAATTTGACTTGTTTAAGACCCACCCTACTATGGCCGAGTGTTTTAAGATATCACTAATTTTATGTACATTTATCTTGTTTTAATAATTATTAATTGGAGACCAAACACAAAATTATATTGTGTACCAATTATCTGGAATCTATTTTTTACTTTTTCTGTCCCATTCTTTATGGCCTGTTTCGAGTTACAATGTTTGACTAAAATTATTTTTATTTAGTTTATATGACAATTAGAATAGAAATATAAGAATTAAAAGCTCTACGCAACAAGTGGTAGGGGTGGGCATGTGACGAGATGATTGGAGTTTCATACTTCATGCGTTCTGTCTAGTTATATTCAAACGATTCAAAACGGATTGGACCACAAGCCTATCCCATTTTGTTCCATAATTTTTGGGACTGGGACAAAGAACGTCTTAAAACAATCTACACAATGACGTAAAATTGAATTAATAATAAAAAGAGTATTAAATAACTAATGAAGTAACGAAAAAATGCTGGGCGAAATACTAATCTATGACCGGTGGATGTTGCGCAGTTGGCAAAGACAAAAATGTCAAAGGGAGTAGACCCAAGTTCGGTTCCTAACAACTGCGCTAGGATGTAACGATGCTATGCAAATGACTTCTGCAATTATTAGGAACATGTTTCACTCTCTGCCACTAATATGTGATTAAAATCCAATTTATCTTCTCTTAGTGATCGTCTTGCTAGTCTGAGAGAATTCTCGGGGACGAGGCTCATCTTTTATTAAAGGAGATAAGGGTAGACATGAATCTCGATCCCGTTGTTCTATTCTGAATATTCCGGTCTTATATTTATAATATCCTGTTTCGTTTGGTTCAATAAATTTTTGTCCCAAATAGGTTCCGAAACAATTTTAAATGAAACGGGAATGGGACCAATAAATTTTGTCCAGTTCTGTCCCGTTTATGTAAATAAATAAATATTTATATTATTATTTTTGTATAAATGAAATAACAGAAAAGAACTTCATACTTAGATGTTTAGACCTAAATATTCATCTGCATTACGTGTTTATTCGACCTTATAAGATTTCTAAACTAAAATATTACTTTGTTTTTTATGTTTGTAAACGTTTTTACTACACTATTTGAGAATTTGTTAAAGATGTTTATAAACTACTTCGTATTTTTTTGACTTTACATACTACAAATTGTTATGTTCTTATTCGATAAAAAATTTAAATTAATACAAACCAGACCATTCCGAGTCCCGTACCCAAAATTCCGAAAGTGATGCGACAACGGCAACATAATGTGGTGTCACAAATTGCTACATCGCGTTTTATAATATTGAGATTGTAACTACAACAATTAAAAACTGAACCGTTTCGACCTCTACACATAAAATGAGAAAATGATGTGACTCATAAATAAGAGTAGAGAGAAAAGAATGGCTAAATTTGCTCTAACAGGTTGTTGTATATATGGGCAGTGTGTGGTCAGTAGACTCGGTAATTATTACTCCTTTTGTCCACCATAGATTTTTCCAGATATTATTTACAAGGTCAAACTTAACTCACTTTGTTTGCTTATTTTAACCATTCATTTCGTAAAATAAAATAGTATTGTCACTTCTAGTTTTGTAGAACTTTTCATATACTTTTTTACTATATAAGTTTTATTTTTAAATTTTATTTTTACAATCAAATAAATTTAATTGAAAATAAAATCGGTCAAATCTCATAACGCGCAATGAGAAGATCATTGGTGGAGTATTTTTTTTAATAGGGAAATCGTCAAATTCTAACGTCACCGAATGCAACGCCCGTAACGGAATCTTTTCCGTCAAAAACGGTAACGGCGCACGGAGGTCATGAGGTGATGATGATGGGTTGGGTCAGGTAGAAATGCAAAATGGTCCTCACCTAAAGTGGGCCCCTCTCACTAAATGGGAAAAGCGTGGACCCAATACGTTAAAAACTCCAAAGAAAAAAAAATATTCTCTTCATTCATTTTAAAGTATATTGTTCTTTTTGATATTAATATTTGACCAATAATATTTCCTATACTCCTAAAAAAAATGTCACACTTATTATTTTGATATCTCGACAATTTTTGTTTGTTTACTCATTTTAGTTGATTATTTAATAAAATAAAATATTCTTGTCTCATCTTATTTTGTACTTGGTTCGTCCCTGAGTGTTTGTCCACTTTTGACTTTTGGAACTATTCATCTAAGCACTTTGACTCAT